CATGTTTAGTTCTCAGGACTCCAGGCTGCCTGAGGGCCAACCAACCTTAGTAGGACTCTGCCCTCCCCCACCCCAACCTTACCCCACAAGCCTGGCCCCAGAAGAGCCCACGCCACACTCCCAGCATGCCTTGCAGCTGCCCTGACACTGTGTAGCACATCTGACGTGAACAAGCTGCCGAGGGGACATAGTGGCTCCAAGTCACCAGCTGTCTCACTTACCAGAGAAAGGGATTTTACCGCAGGACAACTTCTCAGGATCTGAAGCCAGTCCCTGCTTAAGACAGACCATCTTCCTTCCTTCCTTCCCTTCCTTCCTTCCCTTCCTTCCTTTCTTCCTTCCTTTCTTCTTTCTATCCTTCCTTCCTTCCTTCCTTCCTTCCTTCCTTTCTTTCTTTCTTCAACTTTTTAAAATTGAATAGAATCAGAAATATTATCTTCCAATAGCAAGAGAAGAAGAAAAATTGATAATGCCTCACACCGTTGATGAAATCAGCAGTAGATGGTGTAAGGGTCCGTGTGGGAGAGTGACACCTGGTTTGTGTTTATCCACAACTGTTAAGTAAACTAGAAATTTCTGGAAATAATTTTGCTATTTAACGTCCTCTCAGAATAACACAGGCTGTTTGCCCTATATCATGAAGAGAAAGACAAAAGAAAAAATTTGTTCTACTTACCATGCGTGGGGCACTAAGGGGATAAAGGAGCTTGTCCATAGTATGTGGGCCCAGAAAATACACAAGTGCTGAAGTCTGATATGACCTTTGTCTCCACAAATAAAAAAACTGATAACCCTAGGTGTCACCACCACATTTTTTAAACACATATATCACAAAGGGCTCAGCTTAATGACTATTTTCAAGTACAAATGAATTTCCTGAAGTGGAAGAGAAGAAATAGAATCATACCATGTACACATAAAGAGAGGGAGAATTGGGGGTAAAAGGGGCTTTGGTTACCCCCTAGTGTTCTCCATCAATATCTACCAATAAACATTCCCTACACCAATGCCCTGACTCCCATATGGGAGTTTTATGGTTACTGATAGTAGCATGATTATGGTAACCATTTGTAGAGCACTTCTATGTACCAGGCATGGGCTAAGCCCTTTATGTTAGTGGATTTTTAAAAACCTTTGCAATAGCCCTAAGAGATAAGTGTTTTTATTATTCCATTTTATAAGTAAGGAAACAACTTACTCAGATTGTGTGTCTCATAAGTGGCCAAGCTAGTCCAGGAACCAGGTCTAACTTCTCAGCTTTAACAATCACGCTGGCCTTTAGGGGTCTGTTTATTTGTTTGTTTTTGCTTTTGTCGTAAAAGTTTAAAAAGAGAGGGTTTTTTGCTCCTTGGCTAGAAAGGTTCCAGACCACTTTTTGTCCTCAAACTCACATAAGCCATCAGAGAGGCTAGAAACTGGCCACAGCACTATCACTGAAAGGTAATAATTAATGAAAAAGGTGTAATTTAAAGAGGTCAGTGACTCAAAGCGTATGTTTCTCTTGGATCAACTTTCCTAACACTCTTTAAATAATGTGTTGCTATCAGCACAGACCAAAAAGAATGCAAACAGACCTGAACAGTTTAAACCTCTGGGAAGAAAAATACGAAAATAATACTGTTCTTGTAGCCTTAAACAACGACTTACACTTCTTTTTCTGCGATAATAATTGTGATAATTACCACTGATTGTGGGACTTTTTTTTTATACCAAGCAAAGTGCTTATCTTTAATCCCCAAAGATTGGAACTGTCTCGGTTTTACAACTGAAGAGGTTCTATCACTGTATAGGATCTTAGGAAGACTTTCCCTCCATGAAATTGAGCGTATTCAAAATACACAACACGGGAATTCCTTGGTGGTCCAGTGGTTAGGACTCTGCACTTCCACTGCCAGGAGCCCAGGTTCGATCCCTAGTCCTGGAACTGAGATCCAGCAAACTGCACAGTGCGGTCCAAAACAAAACAAACAAAATCCAAAATACACAACAGAAGTAACAGGAAAAACAGCACAGATTGCTGCACACGTCCAAGGGATCGATACAAAAATACCCTCTAACAAGTCACAAACAGTGGAGGAACAGCACCCCCTATGGCGTGGTATGTTGTCATTGGTGGGACGTGCAGCAATTAAGACACAGGTCCACACTCCATTTGAAAATCGGCTAATCGTGGGCTGGACACCTTTGGTGTAACCTGTAAAATACTCTCTACAAAGACTTGGAAAGGGGACTTGTACCTTCTTGGGGCTGCGATGGTACTGCCAAGGGTCATGCCTGGCTGTGATTCTGGAGAGTTCCTTCAACCTTCTTTGTGGGTGGCAAACCCGAAACTCCCCAGAAAGTTCAAGGGTCAAGGCTGGGCATCCTGACCTTAAATCCAGGAACCCCAGCACCGGGACATCTCTCCCCAGCCGCGTCGCCTGGTATGAGTTATTTAACTTCTCTGGACCCAGGTCTCATTGACATATTTCTTGGCAACACGGCATGAAAATAACGCTAGCCATTTGTACCTATGGCACTGAGCTCCTTAGAAGATCGCATGAACTAGCTGGGTTATTTTGAAGGTGGAAATGGGCTTGGTAAGGAAGAGAGATTATAGCCGCCGGTAAACCATAGGTTTCCTCCATTCTGTGACCCTCGTTTCTCTGCATCCTTCAAGACTTTGCTAGAGCTTAAGTTTTTTATTTCTACTTATGAGAATGCTTCTCTCGGAGTTTATTGATAATTCCTGCCCTCACACACCTTTGTATAGCAGAGATTGGGCCCTGCCTTGCGGCTTGAACCTGTCAGTCCGAAGAGTGACTGTAAGAGGTACTTTTTAAATCATTTAGAGTGAGGGTTGGTGCAGAGCAAGCATGCCTGGGTGTCACTTCCTGCCAGTCCACCAACACGTGGAGCCCCTGTGACAGGTGACCTGTTGACATTGGCAGTTCATTTCTTATCAGTCTCTGAGACTGAGCATTTCTGCTTCCTGTTGACAGCAACTTGCACCTTTAGGATTTTCTTAAACATCCCTCTCCCTTTCCTCCGCGTTCTGTCTTCCCTCTCTTTTTCTTCATCTCCTCACTTTTTATTCTCTTCTCTTTTCTCTCTCTTTTCTTTTCCACTTTTCTTCTCAACATTATACTCAACCACTATGTCAGTAAATCCAGCAAGTGACCATGAAAAGACCAATTCCAACTGCAAAATGGCAGCTCAGCCTCAGCTTGGAAAACACTAGAGAAAATGAACTTAAGTCATCAAAGACTTAAGAAGAGATACTACAAAGATGGGATTTCACGTGAGATGTATATTACAGTGAAAATTCTGCTATAAAAAAAAGAATCTTTTTAAATTTTTTCCTTGATATAGTCAGAATAATTTATACCAAATGCCAAGAAATTATATATAATTAGTCCGGGTGATATATAATTTCCATTTGATTATATATATTAAAGTGATTAAGCAACTTCAGGTTTTCACTGGTAAATATCTACCTTCTTTGTTCCATTCTGGGTCTGTAATGACTGTTTGTATCAAGTGTAGGACTCGGAACCAACGGGAGCAAAGGTTTGAATGCCTTAATCAAGCTCTGTTGACTGATGTCTGTGAATCTGGGAGATAACGTGAAGTCAGCTATATGGGAGGAAAAAACTGAAGGGAGATTTACATCCAATCTAAAACCATTATGTAATTTTTGCATTACTTCCCATAAGAAAGTTGAGTAAAACGGTGTAACTGGAAAGCCCTATTTATAGAGAGGTTATTCAATAAAGTATCTGACATCACCAATATTTTTAGTATTGCTTAGAATAAAATGAAATTTTTGACATTTCAGTTTTTAATTAATGACTTCTGTTTACTATTTGTACAGTACTTCTCTATGTTTATTACCACATATTTATAGCAGTTTTTCTTTTTCCAATTAGAGGATAGGTTTCATCCTTTATCTATGCAGGTAGCTGATCCAAGACATTTTTATGTAAATGGATTAATTAATTGGTGGCCCTCATTTGAAACTTAAAAAGAATGTAATCCTTTTTGAGAGGCATTAACTGTTTTTTCATAAACAATTCTTAAGCACCTTGTCACACAATTAGAAATTGTTTGACAGCGGTAATCATAATAAAATGCATTACCCCTTACCACATCACCTTTTTTTCAAGGTGATTAAAAGAACCCATTCATTAAAAGGCTGTGTAGCAGTTTTGCTTGTAAAAACCATGTTTTGGGGAAACTTGCTGGTACATATTCACAAAACTTTGGAACAAATGACATCACAAGTTCAATTTCCTATACAGCCTTTGTGAGTAGGCATCTAGCTACAAAAATGTACTGAATTTGGGGAAAGGCAGCTACACCTGGCTTTCTTTGAGAGCCCTTAAGCCCCTCTGCCTTCCAGCCCTATGATTTATGCAAATCAGAAAGCTCTGGCGGTCTCCACTTCCTGGCCCGGCCAGCATAATCCACTTCCTTCGGGTTCATGTGACCATGCAAATTTGAGCCCTCCTGAATAGTCCCAGAGGGGCTGTGCCTCTCATTATTCCTGCCCCATTCTCTGCGCAGTGCAAGCATTCAGACTATGAATGGACAAGGGTTTAATTGCTCACCACATCTGTCAGATCAGATATGACTCGAGAATGAAGAGAATCCCAGACAAGCCCAGTCGTTTCTTTGCAGTGTTCCTCAGGGCCGAGGTCATCCAGCTCTGTCTTCTAGGGAATATTTTCCACTCCTTGTTTCATGACCCTTCTGGAAAACAAGGACTCCAGCTTTTGGAGATCCATTACTGGGCCTTTCACATTGTGTGTGGCCTTTACAAATGTTAATTAATCTTCCTAATGATGCTCTGAGCCTCAGGGAGCCCTTTATTCCCCCAGGGCTTCTGATGACCAATATGAATGCCAGAAAGTTTTCCTTACTGTTTCCTGACCTACAGGCTCCTCTCTCTGTGTGCTTTGCTTCTTCCCCCTCTCCCAAAAATGTCCCCCACATGACAGATTGACTACTCACATTACCAGGTCAGCCAGAGTTTGACATAGTAAAGGCGGATGGTCCAAGTAGAGGATACACCTACGTGGAATAGGGTTCTTGCAGATGAAACATTCCCAAGGCCAGCAGCCCAGGCCCCCTGAGGAAAATGCACATAATAACAGGTAGGAAGGAGGGTATCTGCTGGGAGCCCAAGAGACGATTTCCCTCGATGAGGGGGCACTAGCATGCCCTCCCTCTCTGTGTTTATATTCTTTGGGTTTAAGAGGAGGTTCTGGGCATGTGCAACTCAGGAATATAAGGTTCCGTGGATTGCCGTAGTGTTTGGGGGGTTCTGTTTTTGTTTTGTTTGGTTTTCCTTTTATCTTTTTTTCAAATGAAGTAGAATTCACAGAACATAAAATTAACCATTTTCAAGAGCATCATTCAGTGTCATTCAGCATATTCACAGTGCTCTGCAACCATCACCTCTATCTAGTTCCAAACATTTTCATCGCTCAGAAAGAAGTCCCTGTACCCATTAAGTAGTTACTCCCCATCCCCCTGTCCTCTGTCTCTGTGGATTTACCTGCTCTGGGTATTTCATATATAGAGAATCCTACCATATGTGATCTTTTATGACTGGCTTCTTTCATTTAGAATAATGTTTTTGAGGTTTGCCATAGCGTTTTACTGTGGCATTTTCTGGGGGTTTGTGTGTGTTTATCATTCTTACCCCATCACAGTTATTCTTCACATGTTCTCTGCCTTGGATAATGGCGTTACCCTCTAAGGAAGCCTGAGAATCAGCATAGACCCATGTCTTCGCTCACTCCTGTAGTCTTTAGGAGTGTTCTTTAGGTTCTGTCGATTGCACGTCTGAAATACCTCAGGTCCCTTCTCATTTAATGCTCTTACATCTCCTGCCCCTTCTCAGAGACCATTCATTCCCCAGCTGGTCTTTCTCAAGCACAGACCCTCCTGACCCTGTCACTGCCCAGCTCAACTCTTGACTGGTTCCTCCCCACCTTCCGAACTGGGTTCAAGCTCCTTCCCCTGCTGGCCCAGGCTGTCTGCAATCTGTTCTCCCCTCCAACTGCCCTCAGTCCCATCCCTACCTGCTACACCACGTCTATCCGACCGCATTAGACTGCCTGTGGGTCTCTGACCAGGGCTCACACTCCCTCTGCTGTGCCTTTCTGTGTCCCATTCCCTCCCTAAAATGTCTTCCTTCCCACCATCCCACCCCTGCTTCCCACTGCAGGAATCCATCCCTCCTTCTCCCTCTCTTGCGTTTTACCTTCTCATCTTCCCTGATCGGTGAGTCAGAATGAATTCCTCCTTTCTAATCCCATGGCTTTTCCTTCTCCAAAGAAAAAACTATGGGCCTGTAAGGAGCCAGAGGGAAAGAAACCAGTCTGATGAAAGTAACAAGGACTAACATTTTAAATTATTTTCGTCTTCTATTGAATTCACAGTTACTCACAATGGTTTACCAGGTTCAATTAGCAGAAAATGCAACTTTGCTTTTTATTTTCCTCTTCAGATTATGTTCTTCATTACAAACCTCAAGAGTTTTATATGCAGTTGCCAAAAATCTTCTTTTTGACAAATTGCACAGGATGCATTTTGGGATTGTGTGATCGAGCGGATTGAATTTAGGCCAAGTTCTGTACCCTGATATCTCTCAAAACAAAAATACAGATGTAGGGCTACTCAAACATTTATCTATTTATTTTATCCCAGCCCTCCAAATTCATTGTCTTTAAGAATAATCAATTGGATTCTTTTTAAATTAAATGCCAAGTAAACGATGCAAATAAAACAATTTTGTTTGCCGAGAAGTAACTGAAAATCTGCAACTAATTACAAATTGGCGAGCTCTGAAGCTGCAAATAGCTCAAACCCTCTGCTGATGCGTTGTTTACAGCAGGGTTCAAACTGGTTTCCTTACACCAGCCGTCCACAAGTTATTAATCAATACTTTGCCAAGTTCTATACCTCACCTTCAAAAAATGGTAATAAACATTTAATTTTCAATATGGGCTTCATAAATAAAGCTTTTAAAAACTAGCGGAGGAGGTGTAATGGGTTAGAACACACAAAGTCTGTTCTTTAGTTAATGTGAGTTGGCTTTGGATTAAGTACCCTGTCCTTCCTTGACTGCTCAGGAATCCTGCAACTCAGTTGGAATTAATATCTGCCGGTCTGGTCACTGAGTCCCCTATAGCACTCCACTGATATAATGCAAGACCTTTCTAATTGAAATTCTGGAGAAAAGCAACATATTTGTGGGCCACAGAGAGACAGGGAACAACTAATTTGATTTGCCATTGCTACAAGCAGGTAAAGCGGAATTTACAAAAGACTCCATTCTGAGTGGTGGTTTAAACACACACACACACACACACACACACACACACACACACACACACACATTCTGATGCTTCCATACCTCTCAGACTCCATCTCCTACTGTTCTTTCTCTCCCAGCTGACCTACATTCACTCTTGTTCAGTCTCTGCCCCTGTCGCTCTGTTCCTGGAATGTTCTTCCTCTAAATCTTCACTTGGCTGGCTCCTTCTTTTCCTTCAGGTTTCAGTTTAATGTCAGTCTTCAAAAAGGCTTTCCCTGTCCACCTTACCTGATATCTTGTACATTATTCTCTTTCTTTGTTTATTTACTTGATAATTGTGAGATGTAAGCTATACAAGGACAGACACCTTGTTTATCTTGTTCTCTACTCTAACCCTGGTCCCTGGACTAGTGCCTTGCACGTGGTGAGTTCTCAGTAAGTACTGGATGGACGGATGGATGGGTGTTCAGGTGAATGGATAGATGGGTGGGTAGGTAGATGGATGGATGGCTAGATTAGAGGGATGAATGAAGGAATAGTTACGTTGGTTGGAACAAGCAGCAGAGTGAAGACAGAAATTGAATGCTAGGAAGGACATGATTCTAAAAGCATCTTCTTTGATAAAAAACCAAAACCTCTTCTGGATTCCAAAATTAGAGACTTCTTTGCAAACTGGGGTGCATTCAGAGGTCAGAGATGGTGAGAAATACTACACAGCAAATACTCTTCAGCTTTCACAAGGGCTGTTCTGTAGAAGAATCATTAGACCTATCTCTGTGGCCCCAAAGGCTTGACCCAGGACCAGGGGGTGGAGATTACTAGAAGGCATATGTGGCTTAAAATGAACACACTTTCTCACTGAGAGAGCTGCCCTGAATGGAAAATTAGTAGTGAGATGATGTTGGCGGAAGGATTTATATACAAAGTACCTGGCTACTTAGCAAGGGTGCTTATCACAGGGGATATAGGCATCAAATGTGCTGTCGTTCTAGATGACTTGCCTGGGCTCTTACTACCCCGAAGCTCTGTGGTTCTGTAATGATCAAAGGAGAAACCTGCTCAATAGTTGACAATTATTTTTAAAGGGAGAAATTCCAATGCGATTTGGATTATTCATTTTGTCCCATAAGGAGATAACTAAAAAATGATTTTGAACTGAAAGAAGATGTCCTTGGCAAAATAATAAGGCTGAATTCTGAAAGTCTCTTCCCCATCTTCTGTTCTCTGGGATGCCTGGGACAGGGCATGCAGTATTTTAGGTACATTGTGAGCGAGGAGCCTGCATTCCCAGGAGGTGGCAGGGATGGCCTGTAAGGTCTCAATCCAACTCTGTGATCTTAGGGCAAAGCTTCTATGTGTGAAACGCAGTAGTACCTCCAAAATAGAACAAGAGCACTCCATCCATGTGAAGATGACTGTCAAGGTCACTGAGACCTACAGTGATCTGGCAAATTAAAGCTGTCTGTGGCTGCCTTTCCTTTCAGGACATACTTTAGGAGATCAAAAAAAAATTTTTTTTTTATAAATTGATGATTTTCTGTTGCTGAGTCATTTTTCTTGCAGTTCTTTTTGCTTTTCCTATTTATTGTTGGTTTGACGCCTGAGCCATAGCATTGTTGCCTTCCAGCTGGTGTGAAGGAGAGAGCCGAAGATGCAGGTGTGTGCCCCGGTGGGCAGCTCTAGGCATGGCCATGAGGCCCTCCTGCAAGTCCACGAACGTCCAGAGATCAAGACGAATGTTCTGGTCGGTTAATGAGGTTTGGGTTTGTCACTGCACCACAATCCAATTGTTTCCCTTGCCAATTCCTGGGGTGAACAGAATGCTGAGAGTGGAGCATGGGAAGGGAGTTTAGATTTCTCACCTGGTTTCTAGCCAGGCTGATACGTTGTCCTACGCAGGAGGCCTCAGTCAAGCCGCAAGTAATGTGCACTGGTCACTGGCAGAGCATCCGGGATGTTCTCTCTGCCTGCACTTCCCTTCATCCGGGTAGAGCTCACTCACCTGGCAAGGCTCAGCTTAAATCTTAGCTTCTCTTGGGAGCTCTCCCAAGCCCTCATTTGGAATAACCATTCTTCCCTCTGGGCCTCCTCGCTGACTTCTGTCTCCCCTTCAGTTCATGGTATAAATTATACGGTGTCGAAGTGGCTCTCCTCTGAGTCCGTGAGATCCTTGAGGGCAGGCATTGTGTTTCCTCTTTCTTTATATCTCCGGAATACAGTGCCCTTCCTGGCACGTAATAGGTCCTCAGTGAATGCCTGATATATTGGGAAAAAATGACTAGACACCTGAAATATTAAAGGAATTAATATTATTTGGGTGGAGAGTAATAAAGACATGCAAAGTTCTATGTGAAACTCATCTTTTCTCCCCAATACAACCTGATTAAACAGTGACAGTTTCTTCCTCTCCTGAGCCACCTGGATCTTAATGGTTATTTTCTTACAAGGCTGTTGAGTTTACAAGATGACAGAACTGTATTTACCTTGGACTTGGGGCTGTCCTCTATTAAGGAGCTTTCAGCAAAGCCTAGGAGTCAAGTTATCACATTGCGGGCTAAAAGCCAGTGGGGAAACCCTGGGGGAAAAACCCTCATGGGTAAGAAATACTTTGTCATCTGGTCCCTGAGTCTTATGGACTTAAGCAGTGACCTAGCTGAGTGATCCCACAGTGAGGCCTCAACGTGTTCCAAGGCCTTAACTTGCTCTGAATGGCTCCGGATTCCCAGTGATGCACGCAGCCCCCCAAGGTCAGGGGCCACCATGCTGCCAGTCAGGCGGGGCAGGTGGAATGTTGCACAGCTGCGCCTCTGGTTGCATTTCCCAACACCTCCCTATCCCACAATGACTGGTCGTTGGCATGCTATTTCTGCCACCTTGTCATCTTAATGGCTTGTCTGGGGTCTCGATGGCTGTATATGCGGAGTGCCTGTCCCCAGCCCTTTTTTCTCAGGACAAGCTCGAGTTCACTTCCTCTGGTCTTATCAAACCCCTTGTTTCCAAAACTGTTAGCCACTTGGGGAGTTGAACTCGACTTCTCCCTCCCAACATCCTCCCAGCTGAAAGTAATGAGAAAAACAGTTGACGATGGTGAGATGTCCGTCCTTCCCATTCTCCCCCATCTACCATGACTTGGAGGGATGAGCCTGGAGAATTTTGTCAGGTGCGTTTCGTACTGCTGGTGGTTATTTGGCCACCTCTGATTCGAGCTCAGCTTAAAGAAACATATGGCCCCAGATTCTGCAACGCTACAGATTTGGAACTTTCCCATGTTAAAAGACTTAACAGATGAAATATGGTTTTCTATACCTCTTTTCACTGACCGTCAAAATAACAAGTGGTGTCTTGTCTTTCAACAGAGACACTCTTTTTACTCAGTTATTCAATGAAGAATGTGCTGTTGTCTTTGCTGTAGATTTTTATTTTATTTGTAAATTGTGCGTGCTGCGTGCTATGGAATACTGAAAAGCTATACACCCTGGCTTGTTAGCTGTGTGTGATTACAAATTGTTTGAATAACAGTGGACTATTGAACTGCCATCCAGATGTGTGTGGAGTTAACTGTGGGAATGTCCACAAAAGAGGATTATCTTTCTGGTTGCTGGGTCCAAGCCCCCCAGAAAGTGGAAACATAAGCGTGGAAGCCACTCAGATAGAACAGTAGCTACAAATGGCTCTTCAGAAGCAAAATTAATCATTTTTTTAAATTACACATTGCAGTTAAGACTGAATTTGTCCTTCTAAAGTAAATCAGGCAAAGAAAATACCAAACAACAACAAAAGAAGTTGCGGCTTTGAATGGCCTTTGCAAATGGTTTAGTCATTTTATGTTTTTAATTATCTACAAATTCAGAACATTGTAGACTCAAGATAAGACCCTGACCATCCCAAGTCTCTGAGCTAACTTCTTGTGTACTTTATCTAAGTTTCCAGCACTTCCTTCCATCTTGTCTGCTGCACCGGATACCACAGTCATACAGCAGTTGGCGTTCATAGTCCTGGCCAGGGGAAAACAATACAGAAATCCCTTGTGAACATTTCCTTTAAAATATTTGAACCACAGTGAGATACTACTTCACACCCAGTAGAATGGCTAAAATAAAAAAGACAGACAATAACAAGTGTCGACAAAGATGTGGCGATATCAAAACCCTCACCCGCTGTTTATGAGAAAGTAAAATGGCATAGCCACTTTGTCAAACAGTTGGACAGTTCCTTACAATGTTCAGCATGGAGCTGCCATACAAACCAGCATTTCCACTCCTAGGTATATGTATCCAAGAGGAATGACAATATAGGTTCACATAAAAACTTGCACATGTATGTTCAGAGCAGCATTATTCATAATAGTCAAACAGCAGAAACAACCCGATGTCCATCAACTGATGAATGGATAAATAAAATGGCATTTTATTATTTGGCCATAAAAAGGAATGAAATACTAATACAACCTGGATGAACCTTGAAAACATGCTCAGTGAAAGAAACCAGACTCAAAAGACTGTGTAGTATATGAATCCATTTGTATGAAATGTCCCGAATAGGCAGATCTATAGAGATAGAAAGTAGATTAGTGGTTGCCTAGAGCTGGAGGGGTTGAGGGAAAATGGAGGGTGACTGCTAATGGGAATGGGTTTTCTCTTTGGAGTGATGAAAATTTTCTAAAGTTGATTGTGATGATGGTTGTACAACTCGGTGAATATACTAAAAACCATTGAATTTTAAACCTTAAATGGGTAAATGGCATGGTATATGAATTATACCTCAATTAAGCTGTTTAAAAATGAAGGCAAAATAAAGACAGTTTCAGGTAAAAAATTTTAAAGATATTTCAAGGTGATTTTTTTTTTTTTTAGAGAATCATGCCTCAAATTAGGAAGTCTTCAAAAACCACATATCTGGACTTTTTTGGCAACATGAAAAGAAGGGGAAATGGTTTTAAATTTAGTAGCTTATGTCCTTTTTTCCCCCCCTGGAATGAAATATCTGTTATTTGTTCAACAATGTCAATGCTTTCTATCTCCACTTGGAATCTACAGCAGTCACTTGGCACCCAGCCATCAAATACCTAGATCTACCCTTGTGCAATACAGCTCTAGCAATGCATATTGAAATCTATCATTTGGAACCTATTTTAAATTCTGTAGCAAGCAAGTCAAAAAAAAAAATGTAAATCATGAAACATCAACCAAGTCAGAGGAAACAAAGAAACGAACAGGAAATCCTCTCTAGATTCTGTTCTCACTCCACTTTCTATAGTTTAATCTAAAGAAAAATGTGGAATTTCCTGCGGAGTGATTAATAGGCCAGTGTGGTGATATACAGGAACTCTGAGCTTGACCTTGCAGGTAAAGGCTAACTGGTATGTTAAGTTGATTACACAATTTCCTCTAAATAAGTTGACAAGTGGTTTGCTCAGTTGCCTTGACTTTTGCCCTTATAAATGCACACTTATAAATGACTTGCTTTTTCAGCTAAAGCAATCCTTATTTTAGATGTGACATGTGTTAAGTAAACAGACTGATAGGGAACCCAGCTTCCTAGCCTTCATAGCCAGGTCAGATTAGCAGAGTTGCTAGGGGACATGAGTTGGGGCAGCCTGAAACTTGGCTTTGAGATATGGCTGTATTTGTAGAGCATGAGAAACCCAAAACTGTTTTTGTCCTTCCAGTATGGTGAAGTAGACTGGTGGATTTGAGAAGATGATTCCACAAGTAGCTCGAAATATTCCTGGAGTAGAGGTGCTAAATGGTTTGCATTGAATGACAATAGGTTTATCTCTAGTGTTTATCTCTAGTTTATCTCTAGTTCAGGTCTCCTTTCAGGATGTCAAGTCTGTAAGAAAATACAGCCTCTGGTGTTTTGTCCAAAAATATCACGGAGAAAAGTTTTCTGGTCAGCATTTCTGTTCTATTATCATTTTCATAGGAAGAAAATATAGTCCTTTTATAGTCAAGAGGATATAGTTTATTGAGATATTTTTATTTAAAGATATACTACTTCCTTCTATTTAAGGGGAAAGTTAACAAAAAGCCACTATAAGGAACAGGAAATGTTACTTCAGATGATAAATCAAAATGATGCTTAGGAAAATAACTGGTTATTTGTAGATTTATAAGTCAAGCACCTTTATTGAACTTAATATATCCTGATTTGATAAGCGAAAAGAGCTTTGCTAACATTGTTGATTTAGCTGGAATCTATTTGTGTGTGTGTGTGTGTGTGTGTGTGTGTGTGTGTGTGTGTGTGTGTGTGTGGTGTGTGACTCTTCCTGAATGAGTTAAACATTTGGAAAATGAATTGATTTTTATTTGTATATACAAAGATAATGCCATTTATGCTTTCCAGGTCTAGAATATGACAAGCCTTGAGCTCATCTGGAAAACAGAACATTATTAGGATTCAGAGGTTAAATTTACCATCCCACCATCAAATCCATGAATGTCCCTCTGAAACAATGTGCAGACCCATTATAAATCATCTTCCTTCACATTAGCTCTTACATAAGATGAAACTCGCCAGCCTGGAAATGTTTACTACTTACCACAGATGTCTCTCTTAGACATCTTTTTGTTTATTTCATTATTTCATTCAGTCATCCATAAGTATTTGCAACAAAA